ATTTTCTTGGGATATTCACACAATTCTGTTGCTTATAGAGTGTTAAATAAGCGAACTCGCAAAGTGGAAGAAACTTTTAATTTGACATTTGATGATCATTACATTAAAAAGTCTAATCATCAATTTGCAAATCATCCTATTTTGCAAAATTCTTCTAATGATAATGATTCAATTAAAATGGACGATGATAATTATGAATCAATTTTTAGTATTTCAGATCAAGCAATTGAAGCAGATAATAATGCACCGGATAATCAACAATCAGAAAATTCAAAGCATGACAATGATTCAATTTCGGTTTCGAATCTAAACACAAATGAACTAACTAGTGGTCCAGTGGAGGGGGAGCACTTGGATTCGAACAGTTTTATTGAGGGGGAGCATTCTTGCGAAAGTGATAAAATGTCAACCAATGTTAATGATGAGGAGGAGCCAATTATCGAAGAAGAGCCAATTATCGAAGAGGAGATAAACATTGAAGTAGAGCCAATACACGAAGAGGAGCCAATACTTGAGAAGGATCCTATTCTTGAAGAAGAACATTTCGATGATGCTGAGGATGCATGTCCCATAAATGGATCAGAAACAAATGCGATGTTCGAAGATGCACCTTTAGATTTTGATCCTAATTAATTATCCACCATTGGATAAATGGACAAGAAATCATACAAAAGAACAAATTCTTGGTGATCCACAAGCAGGAGTAATGACAAGGGCTCAACTTCATGCACGAAATGAGGTATTGAATACTCATCAAGAGTTATGCATGTTTAATGTTTTTATTTCCAAAATCGAACCAAAGACAGTTAAGGTTGCAATGGAACACTCTGATTGGGTTGTTGCTATGCAAGCTGAATTGTCTGAATTTGAAAGAAACAAGGTTTGGAGATTAATTCCGAAACCTGTTGATGTGTCAATTGTTGGACTCAAATGGATTTATAAAAACAAAACTGACAAAGATGGAAACATTATTCGAAATAAGGCTAGACTTGTTGTTAAAGGATATTCTCAACAAGAAGGAACTGATTACGAAGAAACATTTTCCCCTATCGCAAGACTCGAGGCTGTTCGTATTTTTCTAGCTTATGCAGCTCATAAAGATTTCGATGTTTACCAAATGGATGTAAAATATGCATTCCTAAACGGCGAACTCGAAGAAACGGTATATGTTGAACAACCACCAGGTTTTATAAATACCACACATCCTGATCATGTTTATATTTTAGATAAAGTTGTGTATGGGTTAAAACAAGCACCAAGAGCATGGTATACAACTTTAACATCATTTTTGAAACAATCTAAATTTAAACAAGGATCAGTTGATCCCACTTTATTTCGAAAGAAAATTGGGAATCACCTGATGCTTGTTCAAATTTATGTTGATGATATAATTTTTGGCTCTACTGACCCTGCTTTATCCAAAGAATTCGAAGACTTGATGAAAAGCAAATTCGAAATGAGTATGATGGGCAAAATTAATAACTTTTTGGGTTTGAATATTCGTCAAAACAGGGAAGGCATCTTCATTAATCAGGAGAAATATACGAAGACTTTGTTAGAAAAGTTTGGCATGACGAATAGCACAAAGTTACGAGTACCAATGGCAACGGGCATAAAGCTAACTCCTTCGTTAGATAAATCTGTTGTTGATCTCACTCTGTATCGAAGCATGATTGGGTCTTTATTGTATTTAACTGCAAGTCGACCTGATATTATGTTTTCTGTTTGTAATTGTGCAAGGTATCAATCAAATCCACGTGAACCACATTTAACATCGGTGAAGAATATTTTTCGATATTTGAAAGGCACTACTTCGTTAGGTTTGTGGTATCCTTCGAAAACAGGGTTCTTTGTACAAGCTTATTCGGATGCGGATCTTGGAGGATGCAGTCTTGATCGCAAAAGCACAACTGGTGGGTGTCAATTACTAGATGGAAAATTGGTCAGTTGGCAATCGAAGAAGCAAACATGTGTTTCGATATCTACAGCTGAAGCTGAATATGTTGCTGCAGCTGCGTGTACATCACAAATAATTTGGATTCAAAGTCAATTACGTGATTATGCTATTAATATGAAAAAGATTCCTTTATATTGTGATTTACAAAGTGCAATAAGAATTCCTCATAATCCTGTGCAGCATTCGAAGACTAGGAACATTGCTCTCAGATATCATTTCATCAAAGATCATGTCGAAGAAGGAAATATTGAAGTTCATTTTGTGAAAACAACGGAACAATTGGCAGATATTTTCACAAAGGCATTGGATGAAAAATCTTTTCTTTGTATATTGGAAGGATTGGGTATGGTTGATGGAAATTCACTTACATGTGATAAAAGTGAAGGTTGATGGATTCGAATGTTTTGGTGAACTGAAGGACAAATTGCTTACAAAGAGTTAAGTGTTCAAAGGTTACTGTTCATGGTCAACGCTTCGAATGCTTCGCATTCGGAAGATTTATTCCTTGTTGAAGTACATAATCAGAGATTACTGTTCAAGTCAACGGTTCGAATGCTTCGTGTTCGTATGATTTGAAGATCTTTCTAATTCACTTCTTCGCATTCGTACACATTTCAACTAAGGTTAGAATTTTAATTTCTTTATTTTTTTCTTTCGAAAAACCTGAGAAATCAAAAATATTTTCTTTTGTTGAAAAATTAAAAATCCAAAAAGATTTTATTTTGGTTTGTTATTATTTTTTTGAAAAATTCAAAAATACCAAAAATATTTTTTATGTTCTCTTCGGTTTTAACATGTGTATTGTGAGTTTTGTCAAGCTTTAAATGTGAAGGATTCATGTGTGTGTCTTCTATGGGAAGGTATGATTTCGATACACTTTGGATTAGTTAGGATGTCCTTAGAAGCATGCTGTTGCATGTTGCCTCAAGCCTCATATGACTCTATGTGTGAGAAATGAAAGCCTTGATGAAATTATCTCATGAAAATTTCTTCCCAACAAGGCTTGTATTCGCATAAGTCAATAGAGCTACCTTACTCTTCTCAAATGAGTTAAGAGTTGTCTGTTTGGTCCATCTATAACAGAGGTACATTCGATTCGAAAACCAATCTTTTTCATCCTAAACTTCTTTACACCATTCACACACAATGACGTATGTCCAAGAGATTGTTGATCAAACCAATTGCAATCTAGACATACAAATACTCTGTGTTTATGATCTAACATCATGAGTCCGTGATGGAAGTGAAACCCTAAAAACCAACAAATCAAGGAATTGACGGGGAACTATGTTCCAGAACTTACGAAACCTTTGTTTCAGTACCTTTTATACTCAAAATCGTATTCAATCTTTTTGAGTGATCTTCATCAAGCATTCGAAACCTACGATGTTTGTTCCCAATAAGATCCAGCATAATATTTTTTCTTGAATATGATTTCTGTGTGAGTATATTTTGAAAAGCCTTGTTACTTTACATATCATTCGAAACCACGTTGTCACTGACTACACTGGTCATACAACTAATTTTGCTTACAATTTATCACCGTATGTTAAGGTCGAAATGTAACGAAATTTTCGAAGCCACCCATTTGACTTATAAAAGAAACCCTTCGATACTTCTCTATAAGTATTCGATTGTAATTCACGGGAAACCACACAAGTTGTTGATTATCTCTCTTGATGATTAACGAAGCAACCTTTGCCTGGGGTTTAACTGCATTTGTGTCAAATTTAATTTTTGACATCACAGAATTCCAAAAAAAAAATTATTTTACTTTCTCATCTTATTCTTTTGACACAATGCACACACGAAATCCTTGAGGTTCTGAGTAAAACCAACTCAGATTGATGATTTCGCAAATCTGGCAAATGACTTCACTTTATATCCCAAAAGTGAAAGAGCCCTGCTTCCATGCGAAGGGTTTTTAACGGTTCGATATCTACAACGGGAAACTTGACAGGCTGTGTACTCAAGATGGTTGGTATTCTATCCGGTTTTCAAGGAGATGGGACAGTTACTTTTTGAAGCGTGGTTATCTTTTACCATCATGATCCGATTTTCAAGGTGCCACGTCGGATAACATTAAATGCATCTCGCTTTAATTTCAAATTAATTTGGGTAACCTATAAAAGGGGAACTCAGGAGTCAATAATACTTTATGCGATCAAACATTCTCTGTCATACAAAATTCTCTCTGCAACTCATCTCTTCAAACAGTCGTCTTCTGCAAACATGCTCTGTTCTTATCTTCAACAATGGCGACTACATCATCACCAACCACAGATGAAGTTGTTAGCGTTCCGATTCTGAAAATCCAGGGTTCAAACTACCAAGTGGAATATGATTTGTCAAAATATCCGGAGGAACTCCAAATGCTGGTGGTTGCTTTACAGAATTCAGTTCTGTCTAAAGCAATGTTCGATTCTTTTGTTGCTCCAATGTCTTGGTTATCAAAGGCGGGTTCCACTACATCATACAACAAGGAGACAGGTTGTGTGGAATTCACTATGGTGAATGATACGCATATTAGGGTGTCCAAGCGTTTGTTTTGCAAAATTTTGGGGATTCCAAATTCTGGTCGTTATGATGACGTTTCTTCTTCTCAAGTAGTATTCATGTTCAATGAGATGGGCCATCAACCTCCTTTGACGCGTATCAGTGAATTCAAGAAGTCTGGATTACCTACGGTATGGAATTTTTTATTTGGCATTTTCCTTCGATGTCTTACTGGAAAAAACCGTGGGTGTTGATAAAGGAAGGATGGAGGTATATGCAATGGTTGCTGGATTGTATTATGATCTGCAAGTGGATTACTCTGAACAATTGTGGACAGAGTTCTTAACTAGCATTTCAAAGACGAGTGCCAAGAAGGGGATTTCTTGTGCTCGTTATTGGATTCTGATAATACAATATGTTTACCACAAGGAGAAAATCGAAGTTCCGGAGTTCAAAGAAAAGGCGGGTGTTTCATATGTATGGTAGTCCGAAGGAGGTCAATGATGATCCGGCTATCTTTACATCAATAGCTCGCATTCCGGATGCGATGCTCAAGAAGGTGGATCCGACGAATGAAGTTTTGGTGTCATATTTGCAATCCATTGATACAACTGTCGTTACAGGGGTGTTACATGAAGAAGAGAAGAAAAAGCCTAAGAAATCGAAGAAGACAGATGGTGGGTCTTCGAAAAAAGTGGTGAAGGCAGAAAAGAAGAAGAAAAGTCCAGTGATTACAGCTGATACTGTCGAAGAGGTATATCCAATTTTAACCGCAGTGGTTGATACACCAATAATCGAAGCGTCTCCATCGACAGAAACGATTCCTTCGAAGACGGGTGTTTTTCGACGTATCAAAATAAAGAGAAAGTCTCAGCTGATGAAGAAAACACAAGTCACACATCAAGGGGTCACAGTTCGGGAAATTCCAGCTCCGGTGTCTCCATCATCTAAGAAACGAAGGGCTGAAGATCTTGCAAAATTTTTGAAGAAGAATCAAAGAATTGAAGAAGTCGAGCAAGTTCCCGAGACACCAGATATTAAACTTCAAGAAGAAGCGAAGACCAGTCCGCCTGTTGGTCTATCGAAGGCTGCTGTTTCGAAGCCTCTTGAAATAAGTTCACTACCCCATGTTACATCCACAACTGATTCTCCCACATTTCAATTTGTTATGGATCAACCATTCACCACCATATTCTCAACTCAATCAACTGATCCACCCCATCCATCCTCACCTATTGATGAAACCGTGGTTGCTGATGTTGAAACCGATAACGAAGGCTTTGGAGAAACGTTCGAAGCTCTTCATTTTGATCAAGCCGAAGAAGATTTCCCTGACCACATGCTGATGACCATGAAGCAGTTTAAGATTTTGAATTCGAAATTGAATTCTATCTTGCAATCCCAAGCAGATGTGGGCAGTGGTGGAGTTACAAGCATGGAAGTTGATTCATTAATGAAGGTGATGGAAGGAAGGGTGATTTCGAAGGCATCAAGGTTGATTCGGGATTCGGAGAGTCGTGTTCTTGAGAAGGTTGATCATAATGATATTTCTACAGAGAATCGAATCAATTCTCTGAGATTTGATTTTGTGACAGAAGTAAAGGATCTAAAGATTGTTACGAAGGAGCGTCATGTGCTCTTCGTACAAGAAGTCAAGAAGGTACGTGAAGATGTTAACTTGCAGATCTGAGAACTTCGTGAAGATATGACTAAGGAGGTTCAGACTGTTCAACAAGATTATGCGTCAGCAAATCAGAAGATTGACATTATTTGTGACGCTGTTGCAAAATGTGTAAAATTGTTTAAGCAGATAAATCCTCAACTGACCACTCTTTCTGCCAAAGAAGAACAAAATTTTGGAGAGTTGGTCAGGTGGTGGTTGTCGAGGCCAACACAAATAATAACCCTAAATATTACACACTAAAATAGTGTATAGTGGTAAAGGGATCGAATCCACGGAGATTGGTTCAATTTCTAACTCTATGAAAAATCTCTTTGTAAAAATACTTGTAAAATAACGATAAAAATAAAATGGGGGGTTTTGGTGTTTTGAAATACTTGAAGCTAACTAGAATTAACTATGATTTAAATAGACAATTGCAACAAAAATAAGAATTTGATGTAAAATCAATAAGGGAAAGATGGTTGACTTAAAGTTTTCTCACTTTGACTTTTGATGAACATATCATTAGAATTCAATGGTGCAATACTTGTTTTAAATCCTCAATTTGGCTATAGTAATCCAAGGAGCTTGAGATTACCTAGACTTTTCTTAATTGTTGAAATGGCTAGAGAAGCTCATAACAATTTCCTTAGTCAAAGTCACTAATTCCAAATAGCATGTAATTAGTGAAAGTCAACTAGCATTAAGAACCAAAAAGTCACCAAATCCAAGAGGGGTCAAATGCTTTCACCACCATGTTGGAGGAAATGTTTTTATGATTGTGTGAAGCAAAAACAACACAAAAATCATTTGTTGCTTGCTAATTTGAGGATCCTTTACTTAATCAAGAAATTAGCCAACTAATCACCACAAACACATTTAAACTCATGAACTAAAACATACAAGTAATGATAAGATGTTAAAACACAAAACATTCCATAAAGATTCAAGAACATGTTCATGGATTCTTCAACATTCAACAAAAGTTCAAAGGATTAACCAAAAGTCAACCAAGATTAGCTTAGCCAAGCATGGCTAAACAAAGAAACAAAGTTAGAGAAATTTGTACCAAACATTAAGCAAGAATCAAGAGGTAAAAATATGATGTTCTTCAAGGGTTCTTGGCCTTCAAAAGTCTCAAAACTCCAGAGAGAATCTTCAAAAATCGGATGTCCAAGAGTATGCAAAAGATGGGCACCAACCTTCCTCAAATAGCTCAAAAGAAGAATTTCCGAAATACCCCTGCAGGGCCTTGCGCGACCCGCGTGCTGCTGCGCGGGTGGGTTGCGCGGGTGGTGCCTGACATGGGCTTCTTTGAGATTTTGGGCCTCTAAAGCATATCCCACTAGCCCAGATCGAATCCAATCACCTCCTAGCCCATTTTCTTCAAGTTTTTCTTCATTTAAAGCCCAATTTGACCTCTCCAAATCCTCCAAAGCTCGTGAACTCGCCCGATTAATAATTTTCATACGCTTGAATTCCCCCGCATCTTGCAAATTTAAAGTTTATTTCTCTCCAAGTCTTCAAATAATCATCAAGATCACTCCATGCATCATCTCCACTACCCATCAAGCCCAACGTCATTTTTGTCTACCAAATCTCATCGCCTCCTATACGTCCCGAACACTCCCGCTCCGCTAGACCCGAAAACCTGCAATTATGCTCACAAGATTCGAGAGTACCCGAAATAGTCATAAAATAAAAAAGGAAAATATGCATGGAAATTATCTAAATTATGAATGAAATATGCTAAAATAAACTATAAAAAGAAGTAAATAAAATGAAGCTATCAAATCACCCCAAGCTTAAACCTTACTTGTCCTCAAGTAAGACAAGACTAAATGAACTTGGGATGAACTACCCTAGAAATAAAAAGAATGGATAGAACCATGGAACCTGTCGACGTTAGTCAACATGGTCAGAATTGATTTCGCTGCTATCTCACAACTTTTTCATCCGATGACAATGGAACCATAAACCACAGCCAGGACAACTCCTTTAGGTGAGTAAGGAGGGATGAGCAGTCGCAGCCTCAATGGAACATGTATACAATGAAGAACATCTGTAGTAGGGAGAAAGCAACTGGATGGGCTCGGGTGGAGCTCTTCTTTAAGTGCACACTCTGATCTCACATCTGCCGGTTTCTCTCATGTGTAACTAGGTTTAATCGCTCGGGCACCGTTGTAGGAATCAGTTCACTTAGTGTTGGCCCAAACCTCCCGTAGTATCCGACTCGACAGTCTCTCTAACATCACCAATTTGTGAGAAAGAAAAAAATAACAACTCGATCTATATACAATAAAACAGATCTATACAAATGAATATCAAACGTCGGGTGACCAAGATGTTGGGAAATTTGTTCAATAATTGAACCGGCCACCTATCTAAGATAGTTGCGACTGAAAATTTGCATGCTTCATTTTGTTTTTGTTTTTGTTTTTTTTTTTTTTTTTTTTTTTTTTTGTTTTTTTTTTTTTTTTTTTTGTTAATAAAACCCTTTGACTCAAAATTTGGTTCCCAAAGGTGTGTAGGTGGAACCGAAAGGGTAATGATATAATCCGAATGGCCTAAGTGTGAAAATGACCATGTGTGGAGCATAAAGATGTAATGTAAGCTCCTTTTCAAACTTGTGGTTTTTCAAAGATAATGAAAATGTCCAAATGTGGACTAAAAGACTCTCTAAATTCTAAGAAAATCGCAAAAAGATATGGTGATGTAAAGAGACCGGATATGGATTCTACTCGGGGACAAGCACCAATGCTTCATCCTAACAGTTCAAACATGATCAAGTGTGATCCTCTCCGCGGTAGTGACCGCAAGGCTAAGAACACCCATTGCTATAGTATATCCTACAGTTGTTAGTATTGTATGCATAATTCTTCATGAAAACTACCTGTCCATGATCACTTACCCCTTTAAGCTACCAGCATCTGATCCCAAGTATGAAATCCCAAACTGCAGCTAGTGGTCCCGGTTCGATGGTGAGATAGCAACAAGATCCTGGACCAATAATGATACAATAACTATGAACCTGTTCCATGGCATCCAAGAGAGGTGAGAATAAACAGACAACAAAAATGCATGAATGCTAATGTCTTAAGCTAAATGTTATGCAAAAATAAAAAGTAGAAAAGAAGAAAATAAAATCTTTTTAAAATTTAATAAAATAAAAAAAATGAATGCAAATTAACTTAAACTAATATGTTATGCAACCTAACTAAAAATGCATGAAAAAGAGTAAGAAAAAAGGGAAATGCCCCACCCCAAGCTTAAGAACAAGCATTGTCCTCAATGCTTAAGGAAAGGGCAGAAAGGACCTAAATCGGGGGGTCGGGCGGCGGGAAATGCCCGTGGCGATGGTGGTAGTCCCACATATCCTGGAGCTGGCGGGAAGTGTGAGAGGAGGACTGCTCCAATCGATCAACACGGCTTGCCACATCTAGGATGGCTCTCGAATTCTCTTGCGTTTGGGCGTCGATGCGTTACACCGAGGAGAACATTGTGGCAAATTGGTCAAAGAACGTGGGGGGGAAATATGGTGGGACTTCGTGTCCCTCCTGCTGATGCGGCTGGTCAAAATGATGTGGAGGGGCCTGGAACTGATCATGCTGAAACATCGGCTGCTGCATCGAGGGTTGGTCAAAATGGTCTTCAGCTTCGGGCATCTCGTCGTCCTCTTCGTCATCTTCTTCCTCTTGTTCCTCTGCGTCGTCACCCTCATCATCACCGAATTCTGGGAATACACCTGCTTGGGTCAATTGATCTGGAGGAAGCCAAGTGTCGGGGTCGCCTGTATCGAATGAAGAACCGATCCAACTTGGCAGGATGTAAACCGGGGCTTTGTCAGCGTCTAACCAACTGTACGTGCGGGTTCCCGATCGAGCAACATCTCCATCCGGATGAGAGTGTCACAATCTAGCAGGAAGTTCGGTGGGGTGTCGACAGGTATGTACTCGGGATCCGGGAAGTCTAGGCCGACGGCTCGACCTATGATCGTGATAAGTCCCCGATGAAAATTTCCCCTGAGGAACGTTGGCGTATGGAGTCACATTTGTCTAAAAAGAAGCCTGAAAAACTGAGGGAGAGTGCATGCCTCATGCTTCGGAGGAAAAATAGCTCACATCTGTTGATTTGACCGGGCTCGAGACGCCCGAAGATACTCGTCGTAAGGACTCGGTGAGCAATTCGCCAACAGGGGTGAACGATGTGCTTGGCTCGCTGTCGGCTTGGGTTGAAGGTTGGGAGACCGGAAATTTGCATCCAGAAGTTTGCATCAGGGCAACGCAGAAAATCTTGGTACTCTTGATTTTGGGGGCTGATGCGGAACGGATCGTCTATACCCATGATAGAATCAAGCTCTGCGTATGTGAGTCTATGATGCTCCCCTTTCAACTGGAATGTGAGGACTTCCGTGTTATCATCTCGTGCATATGTGCTAAGAAATTCCATTGTGGGTTCCTCGTAAGTTCTGTCACAAAGTCGAAGAAAACCACGCCAACCGAGTTTTATGAACAAATGGTATACACCATCATGCACCCCAAGCTTTTTCATGGACTTTTTTGGTAGAATTTTGTCGGCCGGATTGCGCGACCCGAAGATTGGAGCGATAGGTTTTGATCTCAGCATTTGTAAGGGAAGGATCGCTTCCCTCTTCTCCTCTTTTTTTTTTTGTTTACCGGCTGCTTTGCGTGATGGACCGGCGGTATCCTTTTGCGGGTTAGGATCGATCGATGATCCATGGGTGCGTGTCCGAGCCGTGGTTTTGCCCATTTTCGAAACCTACAATATCAAAAACAACTTCACCAACGTAATCCCTCACCTCACCACTCTCAAATCAATGCAACTATCTTTAGACCGAACACAAAAAAATCCAAGAAATAATGACACCCAACTTTTGACAATGTAAATGGTTTCAACAACAACACTCGGTTAATTTGATAATCCCAACAAAAATTCGGCAGCAATACGGACAAAATGAAAATCCCAACCAAAGTTTAAACAATTTTTGAACAAATTTCCAAGCAAAT